TTCTAGTGCTTTGAATCATACTCAAGTCCTGACTTGAGCATTGAGTAGAGTTCTAGAATACGACCCTGTGATCCGGGCGCGCTAATGCGAACATCGTCGCGCATCGCCATGCGTTGTCGTCGAAAAACAGGACGCGACGCGACGCTTCGAATCTGCGCCAGTGTGAGTTGAGCCAAAAAGAGATCGGGACATATCTACCACCTATTTCAAGTGAAGTCAGACCCAGACGTTTTAACGTATTTCGACCACACGAAAAATTGTTTTACCAACAATAAAAAACACTAATTCAACTTGTTTTTTAATTGATAATGAAAATAGAAAATACCGGTAGTGAACTATAAAAAAAAATTAAAAAGTTCCTTAATTTTTTTTTTACAACGTTCATTTACGGAGAAATCAACGTCATTCAATAGTTTATTTGATTTAATAGCAGTAGAGCTCCCTGTGAAAGTCTTCATCCAGGGAAATACTGCCATCTTCAATTCAACCTTACCTATTTCTGCCGCCAAGCAGTAATATGAGCATTACTACGTTCTAGTTTTGAAGGATAAGAGTGCTGGTGAAATTACAGGCACATTGGACTTGTCTCAGGGTGACGGGCATAGTGGCAGTGCTCCTCGGGTCTTTGCGCTTTAAAGCTCTGAGTGACACTGCAACATTTATGGATAGGCGTGTTACTTACCAGATGGACGCACAACTTGTTCGTCCCACCAATTGGTGTCATAATAGTTGTAACTTTTTTATAAAAAAACCTCAAAAATTCGTGGAATTAGATCTATTTGCCAAGTTTTATTGGAATCTGTGACCGGAAAGTGCGCGAAACCTGATTCATCCCCTAGTTTTAGTGGAATATTCTTCTTCACGTGGAACCAATACTGAAGCATTTTTGAAGTTATTTAGATCCGACCGGATCGAAGGAATTTTTTGTGAGTGTTCGATCTTTGTATTAATAACTATTTAGAAGTTTCAATGAAATTTTCTCTCCCGTGTTCCATAATAAATCAGAAGGCTATAAACTTATTGTACAGTAGGAGAGTATATTCTATTTCTAAAAGGCAATAGTTTAAAATATCGTACAATGTGTTTCTCCACGTCTACCTCACGAGCTACAAAGCCTACGCAATTAGATACGATACTATTTCGCTTTAATCAAAAAATGATTTGTCATAATTCGTATATACAATGAGCAAAAGACAGAGTCGTCGGTGCTTTTATGTTTGATATTTTTTAATGTTTTTTATCGATAAATCTTAAGCAACAATGATTGTCACCGATAGCACACTATCTTAGACACTGTAAAGATGTAGTCTCCAAATAACGACGATGAATGTTTGAGGAAAATGTGATAATTATCATTAGATAATTAATTTATATAATTATAGAATAACTTCCGGTTTGCTAATAGCTACAAAAGTTATTGTGTCGTTGTAGGGGAAACAAAAAATAGCAGGTTTTTAACTGTTGATTAATAACGTAGATCCAATGGCCAGTCCATTACTATTTTGATTTAAAACTTTCACGATTTTCACGCATTATTTATTTTAAAATAGTGACGTGTTGCAACGCTTTGTTTTTTTAAAAAAAAAATAGGTATGTATGTAAAGGTACGTTTCTCGATAAGTCTCAGGGTCGTTTCCAGAACTCTACTCAATACTCAAGTCAGGACTTGAGTATTGCAGTGAGCACTAAAAATCATACTCAAGTCCTTGCCATTAAGGTAGTATTTCCAGTGCTTGAAATCATACTCAAGTCTGCTCAAATCCTGACTTGAGCATTGAGTAGAATTCTGGAATACGACCCTAAATCTCTTTGTCGCGTGATTTTTATGAGTGGTTTGTTAGTAAAACGTGGTAAATCAATTCAATGTACTTTTTTGTTTAATCTTTGTAAATGAAAAAAAAAAATTGATTGCGTATTTAGAGCAAACCATGTTAATTCCCTAATGTTTGTATACATCATTAATAATTATACAACGCACCTATCTCACATATTCAGTGTATTTCATATCAAATGAATGCTTGGTCAAATATGACTGAATAAGCCCGAAACGTCGAGGTAAATAAAATTTGCACGTTATACACGTTAAGTCTCAATTGTTATACACGTTAAGTCGTAATTGATTTTAAATCAAATAATGGATCAGTAATCCTCGAATTTCGGGATACATCACGACTTTTGTGGACGCAATCAGATCTGAATTAGATGCAGTGGTTCTCAATATTAAAAAATGGTGTCGTAATAGGAAGGAAAACCGAAAAAATCAACGCGGATAGTAAAACACCTCTATAACTTTATAACGGCGCGGCGCGCGGCGTATCGACTAATCTACTTTTTGTGTCTAAAACTGACTAAATCACGACTTTTTACCTCACTAGTTTAATTTTAAATAGTTGTTGGAATACCGCATTCTTCTGAATAAAACGTACCTCGTATCAATGCAGTCCATCAGTATTTTTATCGTTAGTATCGCCGAGCACACATGTGCTTTACATTTTTATACACATGTAAAAAATGTAACACGATGTTTTATGACTACACTAATTAGGATACCTGTACATAATCGCTTGACAATAAAGTATCAATTTGCTATTGTCTCTGTAAATGTATAATAGAAGAGAAAGAACTATAACCCTGTAAGTTACTTAAATTAATTTATCAATGGTAAATACATAGTGGGCAAATAAAGATATCAATATCGGCATTCGGCATGTAATAATAATAATAATAACTTTATTGATAGCCATTACAAATAGTATAGAAATAATACAGTAATTGTTAGTTATTGATTGATTGCTGACCAGTCAGGCAACCTCCAGACCCCACAAAAGGATTTAATGTATGTTAGCAGACAGTACCGTTCCCGCCACGGCGGGCAAGCATCAATCGAATTTTTATCAGCAAATGGCTTACATATAAACTAAAAGGAACGCTGTAGTCCCAAAACCAGTACATTAAAACTGTTCATTTGGGACCCACAAAAGAATAAACAAGTCCTGACTTCAGCGTTGAGTAGAGTTCTGGAATACGACCCTAATGCTCGTGTTCCAGAACTCTACTCAATGCTCAAGTCAGGATTTAAGTAGACTTGAGTATGATTTCAAGCACTGGAAATACGTCCCTAATGGCAAGGACTTGAGTATGATTTCTAGTGCTTTAAATCATACTCAAGTCCTGACTTGAGCATTGAGTAGAGTTCTGGAATACGACCGTAATAAAACTATGTTAGACAAATAAGTCGCAGTGTGTATCAAGAGAGTGGAGAGTAATTGTAGAGTGTGTTATGAGTGATACTGATTCAACAATCAGTGTATGTGTGTGAAATATCTGAAGGTGCGTTATAATTGTTGCTTTTGGATGCATATAAGTAAGGTCTTAACATTAGGAGAGTCGGATACCAAAAAAGTTTAGATGAAGGTACACGACCTAATTGTTTGATTATTCACTTAAATAAAATTTGTAAGATTATACTAACGTCGCCTCTGTGGCATCATAATCATGGCATTTTAACAAAGTTGTCAATTTTTTCTTGATTACGTAATGAGAAAGAGAATATATATTTATTTTACTGTTAATGAAGTTATATAGACGAGCGCTGAGAACATGGAAGTGCCTTCCAGCCAAGGTAGTCCTATGTTGCCTGTAAGGGCATACATAATTGCATCTACGTTTCTGAAGAAGGTCATATTTTAATAGCATATGTTTCCGTAAGATCACTTGTAGTACGTATAGCTGCCTTACTGATAGAACTGAGGAGTCGTCGTATAATAGAGAAGTTGGGTACCGATAAGACTTTTTAAACATAACTTTTAAGACTGACCTCTGAGCTCTTTCCAGTTTAAGCATAATGGTTTTTGCCGCACCACCTCAAACCGTAAGACAGTAAGTAAGCAAGGACACACATAGGGCAGAATAAGTCATGTGGAGGGTGTCAGCATCAGCTACTTGCCGGAGGTTAAAAATATAGATCAGTTTACGAACTCGTGTAGTCAAAGAATTTATGTGAGTGCGCCAACTGAGGGTTTAGTCAATAGTTACACCGAGATATTTAACTGCCTTAGTGGCTGTAATGTAACGACAGGTACAATTATGACTCGGAGACGCAAGTATGGGCCTTTATAAAAAATGCATTAGGGGGTGGGACTGAAGTTTGTTTGAGCGCGAATGGAAGAAAAAATGTGCATAAATGGCACTAGTGCACGACTTATTCTATGTATATAACTTGCATAACATTTCAAGCATCGTAATATGTGTATGAATACGATGACTACGTGTGGTGTGACGCATTGTTAAGAAAATATTTCCTTATCGAAATTTACCTTCAGCCTTCAGTGGCCATGAAAAAGTGCGCTTTGTTAGGAGCAGTTAGAGCACAATATTATGCTACGATAATTATTATGATCGATAGCCGTAAACGTATACCTACCTATCTCTTCATACGTAGGTAGTGGAAATAGGAAATTTACCTAAATACATTGATGTTTTCCAAATACATATATCCTGGCAAAGTGATAACAAATGATATAAACTATAGTTGTTGCCCACATTACAGGTATTCTGCAAGTACCTGTAATGCGATCCGAATGAATGCAATAATCTAAATCAATTCAGCCGATTGAAATAATAACGTATAACTAGCACTTTGACATTGCGTGTAGTTGAAGTCAGGACACCAATTTCAAATAACTATGAATTTCAGAGTTGTTTTATGACGGTCAGCCATGAAATAAAGTTTTGACTGACACTATGAAAGCAAGAAAAGCAAACGTGAATGCATGAGAACCGAGCGACTCATCTGTAATAGGATGTAGGTAACAATTATTGTAATAGAAACCACTACTTTGTCTCACGCATGACCCATGATGCAATCTTTACTTTCAAGATGCCTTAAGGTCGCGGTACAAAATCCAATAAAGGCCTAAGTACGTTCTTGTAATTTATTACTCTAGATAACTTTTATTATAAAGGAAGATGCATAACGCATAAAGAAGTAAGAAACTCACATCTTCTGGTGGAAAATCGTAGCATTCTGCTATTTTCTGGTACAGTTCCTTAACATTAGAAAATCCAGAAATAAGTCCGAGCGGGCTCCCGTGCGCTTGTTGGCAGTGGAACACGAGTTGAGACTTATGTGTCCCGTTATTGTTGTCCACGCCATTGGACTGCTGGTATTCCTCCACTGGCGCCGAAGGCACTGGCGGAGGCGTATATTTCGGCGCCTTCTTCGGCTTGAACATTTCGAACTCCGGCCACTAAATAACGGGAACAAGTTTTTCTTTATGGAGAACTCAACGCGCGCACATTCTACACTAGCACACAGTGCAATTTTAATCACCACAAAGTCGCTTATCTTCTAAGACTTTTAAAACGTACAGCTGCGTCACAGCACATGATAAGTTATCGCCCAATGGCGATGAGGGATAAGATTAAGCTGTGTTGTGAAGGTAGCGCGTTGAAGCGAGTCGACCGAAGAGCAACATAATGCGCGGCGCGGGCAGTGTACGAGCCACGACTAACTGGAGTGGCTGCTCGAGTAGATTATTCGTGTCGGCTCCGTTCCGCACACCGATAGCGCGCGCCCCCCGCCTCAAGTAATGTTGCAGCGCCCGGTTATGACGCACCTCACTCCATTGAAATTGCAGTTTTTAAAAACATTTCAACAACAATTTATATATGTAGCACTCAATTGTTTAGCAATAGTATTAGAATAAATAAATCTTTACAGGTGTGCGTTACTAAAAGTCCTGGCACCTATTGAAAGTAGTTGGCAATTACTCAAGTTTATTGTAATTGCTATGAACTATTGACAAGGCGTTTTAGAAACTACAATATCGATATAACGTGATACAATTCCTTTGGGCAGAGCCTACCAACTGAATTCCCTAAATATCCAGATTTTAAAACCAAGTAGAATTGATAGCAGATAAAACTATTTGTAAACTCGCAACATACAAACAAATCTACCTAAGTGTATAATAATAATATTATAAATGCAGTGAAGTATACCTACACATAATGTAAATATAACCAAAAGAATAAAAAATAAAACTTTCAAATGGATTTTTAACTTTTATTGAAGCTTAGCAGTAAATCTACGAAGAGGCTACAGCTTTCTTAGGTGTGGGCTTGCCCTCCTTGAAGCCGTTACGGAAGCGCCTCCTGACGATCTTAAGGTGGCGCATGCGCCCGGTGCCCGTGGTCTTCCTGCGCTTAGCCTTCACTGACCAATGATCTGTAATAAACATTCATTTATTTATTTATATAACACCTATTTATAAACTTATTACAAGTTGTTGCTATGCAACATATTAAAATGTATCTGCCTATAACTATATTAACCCACATGTCGCTCATTTGGTGCTACACTGATGTACTCTTGTAATGTTACAGGAAATTGATTAGAAATGAATTTTTAATTTTACTTCAAATTAATGACGTGTGTAATAAAACTTTGTTTATATTAACAATTTAAATAAAGATGGAAGGAAGGAGACAGAGAGGAAGACCGAGAATGGCATTCTGTGACCAAATAAAAAGAAAGGTTAATGTGAGCAGTTACAGGGAGGTCAAGGAGTTGGCTATGGACCGTGAGGAGTGGAGGAGGCTACACCGACAAGAGCATGGCTCTTAAATAAAATGAATGAAATAAATTTTAAATTACTGCCAATTTTTGTTCAAACACAAACACTTGTTATGTTACAGATGTGTTACCATACTGAATTCAATTTTGTCAAAATTAAAATTATGTCAATGTTGCACCAAATGAGCGATATTTTCTTAACATATTACCCGAGATAGAAAAAGGCAGAATTTATTTTTTAACAAAAAAAATCAAAATAATGCACAAAGCAAAAAATACCTCTGAAATCCTGGATTTTTTTATTTTATACACTGTCTATATTTTTTATAATTGTATCTAGCAATTACTTTACCTATGGTAATGTTTAAACAAGTTTTGTAATTCTAAATAAAATAACTATTTTGTAGAGGTTTTACATTGAGTTCTTAGGTTTTCGCGAATGTTACGCAACGGATATACTATACGCATACGGAAATGAAAGTGATGATTTAGATAAGAAAAAATAAAGTAGTTTTGTTTCCAATGCATATATTTTATTTAGTGGTAGTAGTAGTGTGGGTTGGTATTATCCACAGTAAGACTTTTATTTAAACTTTAGGTAAATATATTCCATCTATTCTGATCGCTGCACATTACACACAATGCAATCCTTCAGAGTTCACTCAAAGCACATAAGAATATGACTTGTTCCAGTGGTTTCAATCTGTTTTGTCGGAGCCAACATCTAGTGCCGCAGAGATTTTGTATACATGTTTAGTTAGGTAGCATTTTGATTTATCTGTCTGGATTTTATTAAGCGTTTTCTTGATGTATTGTATTTCTAATGGGGCTGACATGTTCAAAAACAATCAAAGCCCCTAAATAAACAAAGATTAAAAATAAATAATAAAAAATTGCTTAGCTGAGTGTGCGATATGATAGCCCTGGTTTGGTAAAATTAATGGTTTGACTCCAGCCATATTGAAGAAAGTTTTCGTTTTGTTTGTTTAATCTTTTTATCAATGAAATGAAAATTTTGCTATGTGCGGGTGGTGTAACGTGTTTAGACAAAGTTCACCACAATCAGTATGAGAAGGTCATTTAAACTGGCTCTTGTGAGATAGTAGTTTAAAGAGAACCGACTCTGCGGGTACAGCCATATAAGCAGAAGAGAAGTAAGTTATCCCAAATAGACATTACAGTTCTCACTTTGTCATAATTACGATGCTACATGAAAGTTTACAAAAATTAAAAAGCATACATTTATCAGATTTTGACTATCTTGAATTACTTTCTGTTGTCTTCCCTTCATAAAGCATGGAATTTCCTTTTACAATGTATTAGATTTCCTTTTTAAAAATTGTTGATTGCAAAATTTCAGACTTGGGCCATAAGGATTGATCTTTATCATCAATACAAAGGTACACTAATAATTGCAAACTAATAGTAAAACTATTTTTGTGGCTGTATGTAATAGACAGAGCAGTTCTGTGTCTCTTTTCTTTTTGTACTTAATACTCACAATGCACACAAAAACTTTATGAAATAACTTACTAACTTAGATTAAAATGTATTAACTCAAATCATATCTTATAATTTTAAGCACCCTACTTTTAGCGTAATTCCTGGAATTTGATCCAAGACAACATTTAGTAGAATAAATAAAAGTAAAAAAAGTAGTGTTATACATATCACAGTACATATTACAATATAAGTAACAAATTTTAATAATTTCACTATCATTCCTATAAATCCTATATAGTAGTAGGAAACATCCGAATTAATTATAATGTTATTAATCTATCATTCTAATTATTATAAATAAATAGGCCGCCGAAATAGATAGCGTAAAACTCGTTCATAAACGAACTTCTATGGCTTTCAACTACTTAAGTACACATGTATTAAAAATAGATTTATTTATATAGAATACGTTTAGTTCGAACACTAGTAAGAGTTTCTAGTTCCAAAATTTCTTGTCGTTAAACGTTATAGAGCCCAAGAAAGTCGGAATCAACTCGACGATCAACTTCCAATAAATATTTTTTAACCAAAAAAATGTCACTTACAAGAACGCAGCTTTGCTGCAGGGTATCCGCACTGTGCACATTTGGACTTCTGAATGTGGTAAGAAGATCTACCACATCGTCTGCACAGCGTGTGTGTCTTGTTGCGGCGTTTACCAAAGCTCGACGTACCCTTCGTCTGCAATAATATTTTAGGTTATAATAAAACATCAACACTTGTTCGCAAATAGACGCAATTTCTTCAGAACAATTCAGAGGAAGAACTCATTGCGTGATTACTGGTGCATTGTATTAGTTATAAAAGTGGATTAATTTAGATTTAAAATTGTAATAATTCACGATACAGTACCATTTTGTCAGAATTTGACAATCAAAGAGAAAAAAAAACTTTTTGATGTTGCCATATGTTGTAACGAGTGTTTGGCGTGTTTGGAGAGAGCGTTCAAGGAGCGTTCAGTACAAATAGTGTTGGGATATGGAAACATTAACATTTAAAAGAAGAAGGGTTATGAGAAAAAATCCCTTTTTAAAAATTCAAATATTTCCAAAATATGTGTACTTATTTTCCTAAATTTTTCCAGATTTCACAGTTGACTCCTGTCAAAAGTCTGGCAGTAATCCCGAAAAACTAAAAATTTTACTATTACTGAAGATATTGAAGGAAAACCTTACAACGATTGAGCCATTACATTTCTTTTAAAGCCTCTTCTATTTTTCACTGTTGTTCAATTATTTTAAACCTCGTGTAAATACAAAATGGAGAAATTGGTATTGTTATGTGATAAATAAGATAAAACCTTTAGAATAACGGTTTTATTCCACAAAAATATTTGACAACAATGAACTAAAAGACTATCAAATGTAAAGTTCAAAATAGACATTAGAAACTAAAGAGTTAATATTATGACATTCTATCAGCCTTGAAAATAATCCTCGAGGTGGGCTGGTGGGTGTCGCACTCTTGCAGACCTTCGAATCTCTGGTTCGGTGTCCGCTGGAGGTTCAGGGTGGTCTATGTCTTCAGTCTCATTTTCGGAATCAGAAGATCTGGTTTCAGAATTTTGAGATGTAGGATTAGGGTCCTCCACTTCATTGGAGTTTTCGTTAAGAGCCTCAATATTTGTTGTTTCATCTACCATTATCTGACTATCTAGGCTCAATGGTGCTAAATGTCGGTTGGAAACAGTTGTCTCTCGACCGTCCTCATAGCGAACATAGGAGTAGTCTGGATTTACGTGCAGAAGAGTCACTTCTTCAACAATAGGTTGATACTTGTTAGTACGATTAAATTTTCTCATTAATACTTTTTCTGATTCCGTCAGCCAGGTAGGTATAGATACTCCATTCGATGACCGCCTGGTATGTGTAAACATTCTTTCGTGCGGCGTACAACAAGTCGCTGTGCACAACAAAGATCTGATACAATGTAAAGCTTGGTTTAGAACCTTTTCCCAATTTTCTATTGGTAGGTTCTGCGAACGTAGAGCCAATTGCACTGATTTCCAAAGAGTTCCGTTAAAACGTTCAACCTGTCCATTTCCTCTTGGGTTATAAGGTGTAGTTCTGCTCGACGCAATACCACGTGAATTTAAGAAGTTCTTTACTTCAGTAGATATGAAACAGGTTCCTCGATCTGAATGTAGATAAGACGGCATACCGAATAGCATAAAAATTTCATTTAAATGTTTGATTACCGTTGAAGAGTTCATGTCTGGGCACGGAAATGCAAATGGAAAGCGTGAGTATTCGTCTATTACTGTAAGAATGTATTTATTTCTCGTATTAGAAGGTACTGGTCCTTTGAAATCGATACTCAGTCTCTCCATAGGCGACGTAGCTTTTATCAAAACTGGATCAATTGTAGGTTTGTAAAATCTTGGCTTTATTTCGGAGCAAATTTTACACGACTTAGTCATGTTTTTAATTTCTTCCATAGAATATGGTAGATTCTTTGATTTAAGCCAGTGGGTCATTCGTGCTATGCCCGGATGACATAAATCATTGTGCAATGAATATAACTTTTCATTTCGTGTCGATATTGAGCTGCATACGCGTGAGAGTGCATCCGCTGCATCATTTTGTTTGCCTGGACGATATATAATGTCATACTTAAATGGCGCCAACTCCAGACGCCAGCGTTGTATTTTCTCATTCTTTATTTTGCTCGTTAGTTTATTGTTAAACATGAAAGATACTGATCTTTGGTCAGTGATAAGCCGAAAGGGTTTGCCGATAAGAAAATGACGCCATTTCTTCAGCGATTCGACGATAGCGTAAGCTTCTTTTTCTATTGCCGAGTGATTATGTTCACTTTTGTTTAGCATTCTGGAGAAAAAGGCAACAGGCCGAGAAGCCTGTGACAAAGTTGCTGCGATAGAATGATCTGACGCGTCTGTTTCCACGGTTAATGGTGCGTTATGATCAATTGCATGAATACTTGATTTGGCTATATCTGATTTGAGTACATTGAAGTTTTTGACTAAATTGTCGCTTAATGGCAATATCCTTGCATTAGTAAGATCGTGAACTTTTTCTGAAAAATTTGGAATCCACTTGCTATAGTGTGCAAACATTCCTATCACTCTTCTCAGTGATGATAGATCAGATGGTGGTGGTAAGTTCAGAAGTGGGCGCAAGCGGTCTGCATCCGGTTTGATAATGTTGTCTTCTATGTTATAACCCAGAATATTAATAGAGTTTTGTGAGAACTTACTCTTTTCTTTGTTGAGAGTGAGGCCATATTTCTGGGCAGCTGCCAAGAATTTCTTAAGATTTTTGTCATGTTCAAGCTGGGTCTTGCCACAAATTGTAATATCATCAAGATAAGCGAACGTTCCCTTGAGATCTTCTTTTCGGATTACCCAATCAATCGTCCTTTGAAAACTTGAGACGCCGTTTGTAACGCCAAATGGAATTCGGAGAAATTGGTATAAATTTCCTAAAGCCTCAAAAGCCGTAAAATGACGTTCTTCGAGCAAAATAGGAACTTGATGATAAGCACTTTGCAAATCTATAGCGCTAAATATACGATATCTAGATATTTGTGACACCAGCTCCTCTATGTTTGGTAGAGGGTACGCATCTAAATGAGTATATCTGTTTATAGTTTGGGAATAATCGATGACAAGACGCTTCTTATGGTTGACATTTTTTGTGATAAGGACTTGAGCTCTCCAGGGGGACGTGCTTTCTTCGATTATTCCATCAGCCAAAAGTTTCCTGACTTCCTCTTTTATAAATTCTTTGTCATCCTCACTATGTCTTCTCGATTTTATAGCAACAGGCTTAATTTCAGGACATACATTAGAAAACAGTGGTACGGCAGGCACGGTAGCTGCAGCAACACTGCATACATTAACTTTGATAGGTTCCTTCAAACCACCAAAAGAAAACTCTAGTGAAGAGTGTTGATGCAGAATATCATGTCCAATGATGAGATCAGCGCATAAATTCTTTACTATGAGTAAATTCAGATTTTTGTACTCATAATCTCCAATTTTGGCAGAGACGCTAGTTTGTCCCTCTACTTTGGAAGTAAGAGTAGTCGAAGCCATTGAAATTCTCTGGTTACTCGGTTTCTTTTTTAAACGACAGAGATTAAAGAATTCCTCATCCATAAAACTAATTGAGCTGCCTGTATCGATTAATGCTTGGGCGCGTATCCCTTGAACGTACGCCGTTACAGTAGCCTTTCTAAGCGAGTCCGGCGATGCCGCTATTATACAAGCACTAGTTTTATTACTTTCAGTTTCGACTACTGATGCAGCAGTCTGTTTCTTGCTACGACATACTTTAGCTAAGTGTCCTTTTTTTTCACAAATCTGACAGGTAGAGTCGAGTGCTGGACAATCTTTTCTAGGATGCACGCGACCCCCACAGAAGAAACATTTTCGCTTGAAGAAAGACGCTGCTGATGATTCTTCTTCCTTTGATGAACCTTGTACAGCATTCAAATTTGAAGATTCGTAACTCTGTGAATTCATCTCCGCCATTTCTAACGATCTCGCCTGATCATAGGCTTTGTCAAGAGATAGAGTTAGATTTTCAAGCAATCGCTGCCTGATTTTACTCGAATTGAGACCAGTAATAAATGCGTCTCGAATATTATCGGATTTATTCGTTTCAGCATCAACCTTTCCAAATTGACAATCTTTCGCTAATAATTTTAGCACCTGCATATAAGTATCAATGCTCTCATCGTGCTTTTGTCTCCTAGTAGCTAGTATATATCTGGCATAGACTACATTTTTTGGTTTATTGAATAGTTTGTCGAGTATGTCTAGGGCTTCTTCATAGGTAGTACATTCACTTATGTATGCGAAGATTGTTGGAGATACGTGGTTTATAAGTATGTCTATTTTCATACCAGCTGTTTCTTTTGTAAAGTTCGATAAGAAACTCTCGAACGTCCTCTTCCAGTGCTCCCATTCCTTGGAGGCGGAATTACCGGTTGGATCAATGTTCAGTTTATCGGGACGCAGAAACCGTTCCATTTTATTTATTCTGATAACATTTTGTGGAATAAATTGATAAATAAGATAAAACCTTTAGAATAACGGTTTTATTCCACAAAAATATTTGACAACAATGAACTAAAAGACTATCAAATGTAAAGTTCAAAATAGACATTAGAAACTAAAGAGTTAATATTATGACATTATGACTCCAATATTTGGACTGAAAGACATCTGAAATAAATTTAAAAAAAGAAATAATTTAAAAAAATTGCAAGGTTTTTTTTTAATTAAGAGCTTGGATACAAATACTTTGAGGGTCGTATTCCAGAACTCAATGCTCAAGTCAGGATTGGGTATGATTTCAAGCACTAGAAATCATACTCAAGTCCTGACTTGAGCATTAAGTAGAGTTCTTTGTTTAATTATCGGGATATATAGAGTTGACGTGATTGCTGACTCGAGTTCACTCGATTCGATGTCTGACAGAGCAATCGCGAGTCACGAGTAGCGAGAGAGATGCGATGTATATTCATGTGAACTCAAACCAACGATTAACCAAGTTGGGCACGATCGGTGGGCCGATCGCGACTTGAACGTACTCCGAAGGTTACTGAATCGATTTGAACCGACTGTACGAATGAAGTATTCAGCTCTATTACCGAACCGAGCTAGCTCGAGTTCAAAAACAAGTACAGGGTCAAGTGCACGTCAAACTTGAAACTTAAGATTTAAATCTAACTCTATGCCGCTTATGATAAGAACGGTTCTAAGTCTTTTATTTTTTTCCATCCTCTAAGTTCAAAGTACTGGGTCAAGAGCACGTCAAGCTTGACACTTAAGACTTAAGTCCAACTCTATGCCACTTACGATAAGAACGGTTCAAAGGAAAAAAATTGCGGATTGTTGATGTTACGAGTATAGTTTTTACAAAGATTATTTTTTTTTAAGTATATTATGAAGAAAAACGAAGAAAGAAGTAGTGATGAAGAAAGTTACGATTAAATTCCTTATTTTAAATTAAATTACAAAAGACTTTATCCTGAAAATTCCACTAATTACGAATTCAAAGTTATTGTTCAAAGTGATAGAATAATGTGATTTAAGTGAAAGTAAAACATAAATATTAACTCCCGCCGCTTAAAAGACTATGTAATAAAGCCAAATAAGTGAACTAAGTTTTTTAAGACAAAGTGAGAACATAATCTATTAGAATTGAGAATTACAATGGCGAATATTACTGAGGATCCCGATAATTAAACGAAGATATGGCTCAAGGGACTTGTATCCAGGCCAAAACTATTAATAAAAAAAACGATCCTAAGTACAGTACGGACAACTACACATTTTTGTTCGAAAATCGCCTCCAGTGCAACGGAACAAGATACATCAATGTGTAGCTTGATGTGCTGGCGTGTGTACAAAGTGTCGAGCTTGACTGTACAAAGTGTCAAGCTCGACGTGCTCTTGACTGTACATACCTCGAGTTACGAATTGACTCGTTACTGGAGTAACTCGAGTTAAATAACTCGACTCGCCCATCGTTAATTTTCCATTCTTTCTTTATTTCACCGAATAAAAGAGTACTCTAATTTCTAGTGTCTTTGATGTGGTTATATCCATTTGTCTATGATGATTGCCATTTCGTTCATCTTCATTTTGTGGTTGTGTTACTCATAATAAATTACTTACAAGTAATCATAAAAAAAGTACATACATTTCGTAGAGATACATTTGTATGCCATCGTTTACCTATTTGGCGAATTTGCCATGCGCTGAGTTATACCTGCGTGCACTTGAAGGCGCATATCTGTTGTATCTAACTATTGATTAACAGGTCAACGTAACGTTTGGAAAGTCATCGAGGAATCTTTATACTGACGACGCAAAATCGGAGAATCTAGTACTTCAAAGAGCTAAGGTATGTTTCCTACGTCCATTTTTTGATAAAATTAACATTTAATGTATGTCACTCTTAACAAAAATTTGGGTTCATATAAAACTTTTGGTTTGTGGCGTACCATAGTACCTTTCGGTAAAAACCAATTATTATACCATTGTCTTATAAGAAAAGCCATCATAGGGCCTGATCTGTGTCCAGATTTCATTTATCTCAGCTGCAGCTTTGTGTCCTCTGTAATGTGCTCACTTAGATTTCAGTACCTTTAAATGTTGTGTTCATATACATCTTATTCAAGTCTTTATCTCTTTTAGATTATCTATTCGAGATGGAAGAGACATTGCCTATTGGTGATCTCGAGATCAAAGAAGAGCAGAAAGTTATTGATGTAGGCATACTTCACCAGGTTATTGGCAAAACACTGTTTAGATCAGTCGCTTTAGATATTGAAAATGCACACACAGAGGTCATAATGACTGACTATGCTGATAAATTTATGGTTATAATATCTCAATACCCCAAACTTGGCACTGTGTTTCTTGTCAGGCGAAATTTTGTTAATGATCTTCAAGGAAAACAAGCCATTTATTCTACAAGAGTTGTTTTTGGTGCTGCAGGAGAAGAACAGTTTGCAGCAGCACGGTATATTGGCGAAATCATTCCAATTGACAAACCCATTATCCTCTTTCTCAACCTTCATTCCTACAATGCTCCTATGTTAAAAGCGTTGAAGACCCTTTTAGTTGAACTCATACATCACGAGTTTTATGAAGAACACTATGAAAGCGAGTACCGGGATTACGACCCAGACAACCCTTGTGGTGTAGACCTCAGAAATCCCCTCCCCAACAGTTTCTGGGTGAAAAAAAGCAATGGATCTAACCAAGAGAATGACAAACCCGACACTGAACAAAAAATTTAAATCTGTTCAAAAGTACTATGGCCAATTGGTACTTGGACCCCCTGGTGCTGGGAAAACCACCTATTGTGGTGCTATGGCTGGAGTACTTAAGAAGTTAGGAAGGAAGGTTGTTATAGTAAACTTGGATCCAGCAAATGATTTGATGTCATACGAACCAGACATTGACATCAGAAATCTAATTGTATTGGAAGAGGTAATGGACCAGTATAAACTTGGCCCAAATGGTGCTTTATTGTATTGTATGGAATATTTGGAAAAAAATTATGACTGGCTATTGGACCAATTAAATGAAGACAATTCAACAAATTACATCTTTGACCTCCCTGGTCAAGTAGAGCTTTATTGCCATCATGAGAGCTTAACCAACATTGTTGCAAAGTTAGCAAACGAAGCTCACTTTCAACTTTGTGTTGTTCACTTAATTGATTCTCATCATTGCTCAGATGCAGGGAAGTTTATAGCAGCCTTAATGCTCTCATTGAGCGCCATGCTAAAGATAGGCTTGCCACATATTAATTTATTGACTAAAGTTGATTTGCTTAAGAAACACATGGACAAACTACAGTTTGGGATTGATTTTTATACAGATGTGTTAGATCTTAACTACTTACTGGACTGCTTAGATAGTGATAACTTTATGAATAAGTATAAAAAATTAAATTCAGCATTTGTATCCATTATTGAAGATTACAGTCTGGTTTCCTTTCAACTTGTAAACATATTAAAAGAAGAAAGTTTGATAAATGTAAAGAACCTAATAGATAAAGCGAATGGTTATGTGTTTAAATCGGAAGAAGGTAGACATATAAACAGCATGTTGGCTTGCGCCATGGGGGTTGAAGACCCAAACAAAAGTATGCTTGATGAATTTTGATGATTACTTGTTCAATTACATAACTTGATGTATTATTTATGTCATAGTTGCATTGCATTGTCCATGTAATAATGTCCAGTAGATTAGACTGTCGTAATGTCATTACAATGTAATATGTACTTCTACTATTGATATTAATTAATAAAGTGTCAAAAAAATTTGTCTTTTTAATACAACCCTTCAATTATTATAAAAGTTATTCCACTATCAAGGTAGTTTTTTACCGCCGACACGAGACGAAACGAGGCGAGAATTGAAAACTCGCCGGCTTATTTCCACCAAAAATGTCCATTAAAAGCTCGGGCGAGCCATCATGATCTCTCGCCGTGACTGTGGATAGTGAAAATTCAGTACTGTTCAGTTCGTTTAGAGATAAAGGGTCTAAAGTAATTTTTAAATCTCAAATCCTATGTACCCCACAATCTCGCGATTGATATTAATAGCTTTCGCGAAATCGTACGGGCACTCGCGAGCTCGCGCGAGAAATCATGCTTCCGTTGCAAAGTGTAATACTCTATGTAGGCAGCAATAACGGTTCAATATGACATCAACAAATATTTTTTCAATTCTCGCTTCGACAATCTCCGTCAATTCAGACCATTTCCACCGAAAATCCGCTAGGAGAGAACTGAAATTTACATTGCGGCAGAACGAATGCGAAATTCGCCTCGCTGCGCGCGTAATCGCGAGCTGCTCTTGCATTCGTAAGATTCCCATCATTACGCTTTGAGCCTGTAATAGCTGTTCAGTCTAGATCATTCACATGAGAAGAACGGTTCGGTACGGAACGGTATTCACTGTTGGGCGTCAATCAATTAAATTTCAATCAGACTACAAAATCAATTGCAATTAAAATTAATTGCGACGTTGCAATTGATTTTAATTGCAATTTTTTTTTAATTGTTCTAAGAAACAATTGCTACTAACAAGTAAGAAACAATTGCTACTAACAATTAAATCCGAAACTACCTAATAAAATGTCAATACGAATATGGCACTGATTTCTAAATCCAAGATGGCGTGCACGATTTTGAGTGAGTGGGTGGATGAGGGGGTAGGTTAGGTGGTGAGATAGGGACTTGCGTTAGGAGGTGGGTTAAGGGGTTAGTCACCCGCTCACCCACCACCGCACTTAACCCCTAACCTACCTCCTCACCCACTGCCACGTACTTACCCACTCACTCACTCACCCACACACCCACTCACTCACTCACCCACCCATATGCCCTATAAATTTATCATAATTGTCAGTTTCAATTGTTAATCAAAAACATTGAATAGATTGAATATTGATTAATTGTTAATTGTCGATATACGCGATTAACGATTGATTAATTGTTAGTTGTGAGAACCGCTTTTAACAATTAATTAATTATTATAGGCCGTTCTCGCAAGTAACAATTAATCAATCGTTAATTTAACATCTTTTCCGTTCCGCCGCAATGTAAGTTGAGCCTCACAACTTATTTTTTCAATTAAAACAAGACGCAACAACTACGATCGAGTCGCAACAATCTCATGTCTTATTTTGTATGTATGTACGTACCTATACGTGATGACGGTAATAAATGCATAAGTACATGCCAATAGTATTTTCTTTGCAGATGTCGAATTCAAATAATAAGAAAAGTGCTTACAATAAACTAACAGAATTAGAACAGAAGCTAGACGGAATGATCGCGAACGATAAAAAGATTTCACTTGAGTTGCTGCACCGATACAACGAGATAAAAGACGCCACACAGGTGGTGATTCAGCATATTGCTAATATGGAGGAGACTACTGTGACTGAAGTGCATCGACGCTTGGGGCTTGAAGACTAAATTTTATAAAAAAAATTAAAGCTCAACTCGACTACGCTCTTCCACAAAATTAGTGTGCAGGATATCACTAATCAGTAAAACGCTTCTTATTATGATGGAACATTTTATTTGAAGACAAATACAACTCTACAATTTAATATCGTCCAATATTTCTGTGTTCATAAACTAAAATAGTAATGAACATTTTAAATTTCACACTGCAGTTTTACGTACTTAAGTTATAAGTGTTTTCAAAAAAGCCAAGTTCCATGTTCGCTACTTCAATTACGAAAAAATGTTATGTATGTATTACATGACAAAGTCTAATATATTTTGATTACATTATGTTGACAATATTTATTTTAATGACCATTGTCAGCAAACAAGTTTATAAATTGTAGTAAGGTATCATATTGTTGAACAATCTAAAACTATAGTGAATAATGGGTTTAAAAGAGAAAAATAAAATCTACATCCTTCTTTGAAACACCACTAATGTTACATTTTAAAATATGTGACAAAGTATATTTAAGCAGAAAGAAATAACGGTCTAACGTAAAAGACACAAGTTTAAAATTGATGTCATTACTGATCCTTCCATGAGATAGCTGGCAGCCACTGTAAGTCTGTGTCTTTTAGTTACGAACCGTCGGATATAAATGTAGGTATTACATCCAATAAATCCCTCTAATTAACATGCTTTTTTTGTTGTTACACATAATTCTTAAACAAATCAAAATACATTCGAAGTTAAAATTCTAAACGCTACATTTTGTGTTTATTAATAAGCAAGCAATAATATATAAGTGTTTAAATGTATAATATAAAGTGTGTGTCGCCGAAAGCGACAGCTAGCGAATACACTTGCGAAGGAGGACCACAGAGGGCCTCGCGATCGCGGCAGGCCGAGCGCCTGTGTCGCCGCGGCAATGACGCCGACGGTCACGAAGTCAGATGCATTATACTTTGTTTGGCAATTATTCTCCTGATGCAGTGCAGCACTTTGCCGCGCTGCACTTGTACTGGTGCTCTGCACTCAAGTACTGTGATTCTGATTGTTAAAATCAATCTTATGTTATTGTAGCAACATATTCACATTGTCTATGTTCTGGCCAGGGTACAAGTAAGCGTTCCAAAAATTGTAAAGTCTTCATTTAGTTCCATTCCCGATTGAAATCAACTGTCCAATTATTTGATGGCTCGCGTTATCGAATGGAATGTATCACATGTTGATAATTTTGACAGTTATCATCAACAATCGAGTATCTTAGTAAGACTTTGTCTCAAATATCCTTGTTAGTCATTCCAGCTAAATTTAAGTATAACAATATAACAAATTTACAAAAATACATATACGTTGAAGAACAATCGCAATGTTGAGTTCCCGAAAATGCATATAAATATATCACTAATAAATCTAAGATTTCCTATCGAAATAATACCCTATAGGATTAGGAAATGTCAACATGCGAGTGTTCTTGCAGTTTTATTAAACGTCTATCGTTAGACTTAAATCTATAAGTTTCAGACTCGTTTCAGGCAGTCCCACAAATTTGCAAAGCACCAACGATCATTCAATAAATGCATTTTCTAACCTAAAGTACCGCCCCGTCTATGATTATGACGTGTTATACATTAATAAATCCCTGCACCGTGTCAGCATAATCGTAGATTCAATTAAAATAACATGATAAAGAATGTACGCCGTTGTAACATTCGCAAAGCGTCACGATATGAAAACAATTCGCGAATGATAAAAAGTACATTAATACATGTTGATTATTTAACATTCTCACACACTCAATAATGCCTAATCAAGAATTCCCAAAAACAAGTCTGAAAATATTTGGTTTAGCCTATGTAACCACCAGATGTACCTTTTAGGTACGGTTCCCTAAAACTGTGACGTCATTCAATAACGTCATATTACTACTTTTTACCACTTTTTGATTTTCTGTCCTCACTAACCTAAACATATAGACAAACAATACTTTGACCATAGATTAAATAGGCCAAACCAAAACGAAAAATAAAAATAACGATTTGGTAAATTGTAAATATACTATGTGTAAATAAATAACGGTGACTCAGTACTTTATATGCAAACAAAACATATTATTTACTAAGTCATCTTACTTTTCAATTAAACTGACTTAACAATCAACATGTTAATTTATTAATATATATCTTCTAATTATCACTGGTCAAGTTATTGGGTACTTTTAGGTTCCTAACCTTATAGAGACATTATTGTAATGTCTCTTAAAACAGAACCCGACTCTTTGGCCACTTTGTTAATTGCTATGAAAGTGCGTACTTATCGCTTACAAATATTTTCTGAATACCAATAGCACATCACAAAATATCCAAAGAGGTTATTGCTTGTCTCATTAGGGGATTACCGAGACACTTGTGCCTCAACGCGTTATCGCTTGTCTTTAACAATTCAATTGAACACATCAATTAGTGTCAATTAACAATATAAAATCAGTCTCTTATTTGGGAAGTCTTTTCGATCTTCAGGCACGTGGCGGTAAACCACCGAATCTTAACACAGATAATAACAAAATCTAATTCCAAGATTTAGTTATTATTCTGTTTACAAAACTTATTATGCAGCCTCGCACATACGTGCTTAAACTATACAGATGTCAATTCCCAAGACTTGAGTTTTCGCAGATATACGTAAGAATATGTCATTAGTGATATTGACAAAATGCTAGTTAATATCTCACAAATAAATGCAACTAGTTACAAATAGAAATGCCACGTCGATACGATCAACTTTTACAACTGTGTAAATATCACTAGCAACAGAAATGTGGCGATAAATGGGTGGCAAGCTTTCCTCAAAAATTAATCTATATAAATTTTACAACTGATACAACACTGCTACATATACAAAGTACTCTAAAGCTAAGATCATGAAAGAAAATGTATATTGAAATACCTACTAAAGGACAAAAAACAGGAAGTTACCTTCGACAACTAAAGTGTTTAGTTAGAAACCGGAGCGTCACCTTGACCAATGTGCTCCTTTTCAGGTATTTGGTTAGGTTCCGCCACCTAAAATACGTTATTGATTTAATGCAAGGGAAGAAAGGTTCTTGGTTGTCGCTCATGAACTGGAAGACGTATATATATCTGCCATTAAGAGAATGTTTAGCGAAAAACGACAAATATTACACTTTTGCGAAATCCATTCCTGATCTTCAGAAATGGAAACATTCTAAATGGTATACAATCACTTCAACCTCAGGCCGTCTTTAAAGTTT